TCTGGAGTGATTGAGAACTTTAGCCTGTGTAGCTTCATTCATTTGTAGTTTTGAAATTGATTAAAAATCATGAAATCTGAAATCATTAAACTTTTAAGTTCTTCATCTCAGTATTTCAGTCCTTAAGACTTTCTGCCCCCATACTTGAAAAAGGTATATAATATTTCTTTAAGGGTGCAATCCTATATATGTTTAAGTGGAAGTAGGTCCCAATGACTTCACTGGGCACAGGACAGTGTTAAAGAGTAGAAGCCAATATCTCAGGACCTTGGCAAGCGCTAATGGACAGCCACAGGCCTCTTAGGCTGACCAGCATAATGGGAAACAGTTAATGGGTTGAATTGAAATTGTACCCAGGTCCATTTGGGTAATGGCAGAATAAGAGACATAGAGAAGAATCCTAAGTTCCTGCCAGAAAATATTTCAGAGCTAATGGTTTCATAGTTGCTTTAAAGTAGTCGATACTTTATGGCAAGGAATTCCTAGGGGGTCGCCATCTTGAACGCAGAGGAACTCTTCCTTACCTCTTTATAACAGTCTTAAATTGACCAGAGCTGACTTATATTTCCTTGGCCTATCATGGGAGCCAGTCGAATGATTAAAAGGTTCCTTCACTTAATTTTTCTCTATACCAATGTATCCTTACTCTCCAATTGTTATTATTCAGGGCATCTGTGCATGATTTAACCCATAGCAATAATAAATTCTATAAATTAATATTTGGAATATTTGTTTATAGCCATTTGAATTCAGATGTTTCTTTTTAACAAGGGAATGGTTGGAAATCCTTTTATATAGTTTCTGTACCTCAATAAAGCTAGCTAATAACCAGGAAACACCTGTTTTTCTGGATGAAAGAAACCAAAATTCCCTGCCAAAAAGGCAGACCACAAAGCTCCTAAAAGCTCTCCTTTGAGTGGCACTACACGATAGCTCCTCCATGCTTGGGACACTTTCTCTGTAAATATGCTTCTCAGTTCAAAGAACAGTCTGAAGCCCTATTCCCCTTTAGCTGAAAGTATCCTATCTGGACATACTTCCAAAAGAAAGACACACAAGTGTAGGCTACTACTAAAGCCTGGACAAATTGGTTCTCAGTTCACTCACACTCACAGCACATGAACAGCATTTTCAGTCAAATGGATTGTAAGGGTGGATATGCATGAGGGAAGATAGGAAAGTGATGAATTTATGGCTCTTTCCCCCATACCATGATCCTGGAACACCTTAATTAGTCAATCCATAATGAAAGCCTGCATCACAATTACCTCATAACATGTACATAGAGACAGACAAGTAAAAGTGCATATCACATCCAAACGGTAATAACGCCAGAAAGGAAATGGCTCACACGCAGCATTTGATGCAGAGTCATCCCTGCTCTTAAAGAAGTTAAAGAAACCAGAGGGCTGATATCCATTGTAGGTATGCCATTGGACTTTATGGAAGTCTGAATTCCAAGATGTTTCGGTTTTATTCATATGTGAATAATACCTGGGAAAACATCAGGAACTGAACCAGAGCAATGGGACTTTGACAACCAGGTAGTAACTTCAGTACTCCGTGTTGTCCCTTGTCCCTTCTTCAGGCCCAGTATGGGAATACAAATAAATAAAAGCTATACAGATGAGTATGACACATTTCAGAGCTAATGTGTCATACTCATCTCAAATCCCTATAAAAGGAAAGGTTTCCCCCTTGACATTAAGTCTAGTCATGTCTGACTCTGGGGGATGGTGCTCATCTCTATTTCTAAGCCAAAAAGCCAGCGTTGTCCATAGACACCTCCTAGGTCATGTGGCCAGCAAGATTGCATGGAGTGCAGTTACCTTCCTGCTACCTACTGATCTACTCACATTTGCATGTTTTCAGACTGCTAGGTTGGCAGAAGCTGGGGCTAATGATGAGAGGCTCACCCCACTTTATGGATTTCAACCACTAACATTTCAGTCAGCAAGTTCCACAGCTCAGCCGTTTAACCCACTGCATCACTACGGCCTCACAATCCCTATACAAGGACAGATATTCTGTCAATACATCCAAGAGGCAATGAAGCACAGGAATGATAGTAGCACATTTACAATAGTAAATTCATATGTTTCTGTCTGTCTGTCAGCAGGTGCCCTACTTGCTAAAATAGAAAACTCTTCTAAAAGAGTTAATTGGGAGGCTGGGGAAGAAACACTATAGTGTGCTACTGCTGAAGGATGGCATCTACAGTTCTGGAAAATAGTACATTCTGCAGTGAAAAAGGTGCTCATCTTCTACCAACAATAATAAACTATTACAAGAATACGCCTACTAACAGCAGGCTCCATCCAGATCATTGCAGGTTAGTTTAAAAATAAATAAAAGAACAAAGACCTTTTCACTAACCAGTTTTAACCTGTCTGATAGAACAATCCAATACAGCAGGCATGAGCAAACTTTGGCCCTCCAGGTGTTTTGGACTTCAACTCCCACAATTCCTAACAGCCAGTAGGCTGTTAGGAATTATGGGAGTTTAAAGTCCAAAACACCTGGAGGGCCAAAGTTTGCCCGTGCCTACATTAGAGTGTCATCCACACAGAGTCAAAAGACAATTTAATAATATTTCTGCTGCTCTATGGCAAGAGGACATTGTTCCTCTGGCAAAACTCATACAGCAACATAACCTTTTGATGCTAGAATTAACCTGTATGGTGTATAGGCCTTTCCAGAACTCAAAAAACAATGCTTCAAAGCTCAGTTGCCATTTCTCTGTCATTGAATGGGGGGAGAGCACACTCCTAAATGTTTGGCTTACTACTTTTATAACTTTTTTTAAAAAAGCTTAGGAATGTAAACTTACCATGTATCTGATGCTGGATCCCAAAGAGGAAGCAAAGGCTTTATCAAGGTACTGCCAATAAAGCAATATTCTGCTACGGCTGGCCCAACCGACTTGTTTACCTTTTCCATTATATGGGCTCCTGTCCGACTTTTTGGCATATAGCTCCTTCCCAAATCTCTATAGCTTAGCTGGATCATGATTGTAAACCTCTGCAGCACTTTTACAAAGATTACAATCCTTTATCGGGAACTGCGAAATGCTCCAAACCCCAAAGTTATTTACAAAGATGGTTAAGAGAGTGACTCCTTTGCTTTCTGTTGGATTCAATGTACACAAACTTTGCTTCATGGACAAAGTTGCTAAACAATATTACCTTCAGCCTATGTTTATAGGGCAGGTATGGGCCAACTTGGGCCTTTTAGGTGTTTTGGACTTCAACTCCCACCATTCCTAACAGCCTCAGGCCCCTTCCTTTTCCCCCTCAGCCACTTAAGCGGCTGAGGGGGAAAACAAAGGGCCTGAGGCTGTTAGGAATGGTGGGAGTTGAAGTCCAAAACACCTAAAAGGCCCAAGTTGGCCCATATCTGGCATAGGTATATGAAACATACATGAATGTCATGTTTAGACTTGGGTCCCACCTCCAAAATATCTCATTAGTTGGAAGAGACCCCACAGGCCATCCAGTCCAACCCCATTCTGCTGTGCAGGAAGACACAATCAAAGCCCCCCCCCCCCCCTGACAGATGATCATCCTGCCATTATGTATTCCAAAACACGTGTTTTGGAGAGAGGGGGGATATCCGAAATCAAGGGTTTGTCCACACTGCAGAATGAATGCAGCTTGACATCACTTTAGCTGCAATGGCTCAACGGTCTGGAATGATGGGAGCTGGAGTTGGGTGAGGCTCAGGCACCAATACTATTTCGCAAAGGAAGCGAAAGACCTTGGAAAGCTATAGCTCTACGAGGTTTGACAGCATGAATTGTGGCATTGAAAGTGGTATCGAACTGCATTAACTCTACAGTGCAGATCCACCCCTAGTTGCAAGTCCTAAAGTAGATAAAGATGAAACTACTGAACGACTGGACAATGAAATTGGAAAATGATTTTAGTAAGGAGACGCTGATGATTATGTTTTGTTGTTTTGTATGGTTTTTATACTATACTAGCTGTCCCCTACTGCGCGTTGCTGTGGCCCAGTCTGTGTATATGTGTTTTGTGTGTGTATATATTTGTGTATATGTGGTTTTGCGCATGCGTTGTAATTTAATTTTTGTTTTTTGGCTTTTTAAGACTCTTCTGCTGGGTTTTTCAGTGTTTTTATGAGTGATGGTCATTCGTTGGCCTGATAGTTCTATTGTGTCCAAATTTGGTATCAATTCGTCCAGTGGTTTTTGGGTTATGTCAATCCCACAAACGAACATTACATTTTTATTTATATAGATGCCAAATGTTTTAATTGTATTTTATAATTGTTGAGGCATCAAATTCTTGCTGACTGTGAACTGCCTTGAGTCGCCTTCAGGCTGAGTAAGGTGATATACAAATTTGGTAAATAAATAAATTGATTGATAGATAAGGTGTTGAGAGGGGAGAGACAGGAGATGGGGAAGCACCTCGTCTAATGTATTGCCAAAGGCTTTCATGGCCAGAATCAATGGGTTGCTGTCAGTTTTTTGGGCTGTGTGGCCAGAAGCATTCTTTCCTGACGTTTCACCTGCATCTATGGCAGGCTTCCTCAGAGGTTGAGGGGACTGTGGGAAACCAGGAACGTGGGGATTCTCCCAGGCAGGAAGCAGCCAGACCTTGAAGCTGCAAGACCATTCAATGCTAATCAAGGCGGCCAATTGCAACATTCACACTTGCCTCAAGCAGAGGAGAGTTCTTTCTCCCACCCTGGACATTCCAGTGATATATAATCCCCACTTGCCTAGTGTCCAACAAACCTCACAACCTTTGAGGATGCCTGCCAGAGATGCAGGCGAAAGGTTAGGAGAGAATGCTTCTGAAACATGGCCATGCAGCCCGAAAAACTTATAGCAACCCAGCGCCTCCTTCTAACTCGCCGCCCCTCCCAGTGCTGGCTCTGGGCTCTGAAGCAGAGGAAAGAAGGAAGGAAGGGAGAAGGGATGCCCGGGAGGCAAGGGGGTGGCTGGGGAGGAGGGGGACCCAGCCCCGGTTCCTCACCTTCTCGCGCCTTGAGCAGCACCGTGTTGGCCACGATATTCTCGAGCTCCATGGGGGCCTGCCCGACGAGCCGCTGTCCGCCCACTTCGACTCCGACTCCCCAGCGCCGCCGCCAGCGCCGCCGCCGCCGCCGCCCGCCCTGCCCGACACCTCGGCAGCCTCCGCTCTGGCCCCGCCCACTGCCACCGCGCCTTAGCCAACCCACGGCCGAGAACGGCCAGCATTCTACGCTCACTGGCTCGATCGGCCCCTCCCCTTTGTTCCTCTCCGCCCTTTGCTTTTCATTGGCCATCTGAAAAAAAAAAACCCACGGAAGGCGGAACGGAGGGTGCTTCTGCTCCGGGGATTGGCTGCAGGAGGCTCTGAGGGCGGGGAAAGGGGAGCGGGGCTCGTCGAATAGGGAGCTGCCGATCAGGTCGGGAGGGTAAGGGACTGGCCAAGCCCAAGCTCTCCGTCCTCGTTGGGAAATATCTCCAAGGCCGAGCCGTGATTGGAGGCGAAGTCGCGGGTCAGTGATGACGCAAGAGACGTCATAGGCAGCTCCGGAGGGGCTGGAGCAGGATTCCCGCACGTGACCCGGGCAACTCAGGAATTCGGACCAGGGCTTCTTCGGAGCGCGAGGTCTCGCAACATCTGGGGTCAGCGGTCAATCTAGAGTCCCCGGTGGCGCAGTGGGTCAAACCCTTGTGCCGGCAGGACTGAAGACCCACAGGTCGCAGGTTCGAATCTGGGGAGAGCGCGGATGAGCTCCCTCTGTCAGCTCCAGCTCCCCGTGCGGGGACATGAGAGAAGCCTTTCACAAGAATGATAAAATAGCAAAACATCCGGGTGTCCTAGCACACGGCCAATTCTCTCACACCAGAAGCGTCTTGCAGTTTCTCAAGTCACTCCTGACACACACAAAAAAAGGGCCAATCTTAACGACAGTGCAATTTGACTCCACTTTAAATGCCATGACTCCATGCTATGGAATCAGCACTCTTTCGCAGGGAAGGTTAAAGTCCTCACAACCTCTGAGGATGCCTGGTGAAACGTCAGAAGAGAATGCTTCGGAAACATGCCCTACAGCCTGGAAAACTCACAGCAACCCAACTGAAGACTTTGTAACATTGCCCTTCTCCTGATTCCGTACCATTGAGGCATGGAAATTAAAATGGTGTCAAACTGTCTTAATTCTACAGTGTAGGTGCAACCCATGTTTCCATTCCTCCATCGCTGGGCAATGTTGAGGAATGTTGGGAGTTGTAGTGCAATGGAACCCTGACAGCCTTGCATATGTTGTTCTCTATTGGCGTTCTGCTGTCTTACAATACAACACTCAAGTGGCTATAGAAAAACATGCTTCTAATAACAGGCATGAGCAGGTGTTGGGGACTTCAACTCCCACAATTCCCAACAGCCTCTTGCACTCCAGACCAGAAAAGGCCCTTTGACTTTAAACATCACACAGTTGAGTAGAAATGCAATCCCTTTATTGAAGATAATTAAAAAGTGGTAATAGTAAAAAAGCACTTTAAAGGAATGGGTAAATCCAATTAGGTAGGAAGATGAGCTGGAACAAATAGTCCAGGAAATTAGTCCATCAAAGTTCATGAAAAACAAAGGCAGAAACTTCTATAGTAAAATCCAAGAATTGAAAACATGAATCAAAGACATTTAACATATGAATCTTTCCAAAGCAAGGCTTCCAGGGAACAGGAACAAGGTCTTGACTTGATTCCAAATGATGCTTCATCTGACTACAGATTCTGTACTTGGGACATTTATCTCCTCATTACACTATGTCCCAAGCAGCCAGAAATGGGTTTTATTTTAGCCTTGAATCCTTTATCATCCTTTCTTTGAGCCTGACAGAACGCCTAAGATACTGGTCTGCTTTCCTGTTCTGATTGATAACACCCAGTCTATCTATTTGCTCATTAATTTCTGCAACTGGGCCAGGTGCTGAGCTATTCCCAGGCTCTAAACTATGGGAATTCTCTGGTAGCAATTCAGGGAGCACACCATCATTCCCCAAACCCTTCAGAGACATGAGAAAATACACTTTGAACAGAGATCTCCTGGTCATTCTCTGCATCAATATCATTGGAAACACCATTACCCTCATGAACCTCATTGTCATCATTCCTCACATCCAAAACACCCTTAAACACACTCACAGGCTGAACTCCAACACAGCTTCAGGCTCTTTCCTTTTCCCTCAGCCGCTTAAGCGGCTGAGGGGGAAAAGGAAGGGGCCTGAGGCTGTTAGGAATGGTTGTGGACTTCAACACCTGGAGGTCCAAAGTTTGCCCAGGCCTGCTCTATAAACTCATTTGCAAATAATGTAGAACTTGAAAAATCCTACTTATTATTTTGCGTACTGTTCCATTATCTGGGCAGAGGCCACTAGGGGGCGCTAGAGAGAGAAGAATAGTCCATTTAGTGGGGCTGGAGGATGGGTTGAAAGAGGAAAACCATTTTCACCCTGTTTTCCTCTTATTCTTCCCAGTCATGTCCCCATCGTGGAAACAACCATCATTTATGATATGGGAAGGGGGGGGGGAGGGGAATAACCAGCAAAAATTGAGGATTTTTTTTTCCTCCTTCAACCCACCCTCCAGCCCCATAAAATGGACTATCCTTCTCTCTCTATTGCCCCCTGGTGCCCTTCGATAGTATAATGAATGTTTGTAACAGCTGACAGGATGATCATCTGAGTTGGAGGCTCCTTCATTGGAGGCTTTTAAATAGAGGCTGGGGGCTTTGAATACCATTTCCCTGCTTCTTGGCAGGGGGTTGGACTGGATGGCCCACGAGGTCATCCAACTCTATGATTCTATGAGTTCCATGAGTTGTTTTGAATTCATTCACGCCTTTGCCTTCAAGCCACTTCTGGTTTATGGTAGTCCTAACATGGGGTTTTTCTTCACAGGCTTTATTCAGAGAGGATTTGCTTTTGCCTTCCTCTGAGGGTGAGAGAGTGTGACTTGCCCAAGGCCACCCAAGGGGGTTTAAATCCCTTCATAGTTTCCAAGCGGAGTCTAGTGGATTTTATATCCACAGATTCAACTATCCAGGGCTTGAAAATGTGTTTTTTTTTTAATCCAAAAAGCAGCCCAAGATTTTTCCCATTTTCTATAGGAGAAACCATCTTACTACACCACTGTATATAAAGAGAATTCAGCACCCATTGATTTTGGTATCCACAGGGGACGGGGTGTATCCCTGGAACCAAATCCCAGTCGATACTAAAGGCGTCCTACTCCCACTCTATTCTGTACCAGCCAGGCCTCCTTGGAGAACTGCAGTCCTGGGTGCCACATATTAAGAAGTTGGAGCAAGTTCAGAGAAAGGCAATGAGGGTGCCACAGAGAGGAAGATGCAGGCCTGTTCTCTACTGTCATAGAAGTTAGGACCAAATCTAATTGTTTGAAGTTGCAGCAAAGTAAATTTCCATTGAACAGTAGAAGAAACTTCTTGACCATAAGAGCAGCGTGGCAGTGGGAATAATTGCCTAGAGGGTGGTGAGTTCTCATTATTGAGATTGTATTGCACCACCTGACATTTGTCAGGAAGTAGCAGCCTGTAATGAAAAGACCAAGGCATTGACCTCTCTGGCCCATCCTCTGTTCAGCCAGCAAGCCAATGCCTTAAATCAAGAAACAGCTTCCTAAGATCTACAGAGACACTCGTAGGGACACCTCAACAAGCAAAAGTCCAAAAGTGGCATGTTAAAGCCTGGAACTTCAAGCAATGGCTGAGACTGGATGAAAGACTCCCCCCTGGGGACACAGAAGACTGGGTGACATGGAAGATACTGAACACACTGTGTTCTGGTACCACAAGATACAGGACCAATCTTAAGAAATGGGGCTATAAAGTGGAGTCCATGACATGTGAGTATGGAGAAGAGCAAACCACAGACCACTTACTACAATGCAGACTGAGCCCTGCCACAGCAATACCAGAGGCACTCCAAGTGGCCAGCTTCTGATCAAAGGACATTTAGTATAATGCCACATTTTTAACTTTGTTTGTGGTTTTTCTATACATTATAACTGTATTCTCAATTCGCTTCTGACATGATAAATAAATACATTTTCTAGATCAGGGCTTCTTAATTTTTTTCCTCCCATGACTCCTTTCGGCCCGATTTTTTTTTTACTCAACCCTAGGAGGTATATAAAATAGGTATAAAAATGAAACATTTATTGATAATGGACGTGTGCAAGGTTTGCTTAAGAGGCTGTTTTTCTTTATGATGTACAGCTGAAGCATTTTCTGCATAGTCCACTGTAAACACTGCACATTGTTGCTGACAAGTTCATGTAAATGTCTAGTGATCTGAAATCTTTTACCATTCCCAATTTTCTCTCAACCCCAACATTGAGCTAAGGGGACCCATTTGGGGTTGGGCCATTCAGTTTAAGAAGCTGCAGTTTAGATATCTTTAAAAAGGCGCTTGACTGTTTCCTGCCTGGGAAACTTTAGCTTGAGATCCAGTACTGAGCAGGGGTTTGGATTCAATGGCCATGAGACCCCTTCCAGTTCTGAATCTATGACTCCTATAACCCAAGTTGAACTGAAGACTGTTAGCCTGTGTCCTTGAGAGAAACTTCAGCCAAATCAGCAGACATGCAACACTGGCAGATAGTGAGTTCACACTGTGAATTTGCCAGGTTCCTATTATATATGTGTGTTTTTGAGTGAGCTCTTTTGCTCATAGTGTAATGGCAAATGATGAGTCTGAGAGCTTGTGCAATCTGTATTCTTCCAAATAAGTTGCTCAATACGGCAGTTGCTGTGCTGGCAACTGGCACAGCCTTAACTGCGTATGCAATTTACAGAACAATGCTCTGGCTCCTGATTCTTGGCTCGAGCAATTACAGTGCCCCAAGGGCAGGGCACACATCATGCAAATACACAAAGCGCACGTCCAATTCTTGGGAAAAGAAAACCTCTGAGTTTAACTTTGGGTGGTGGAGTGGAGAGCATTTGCCTAATTAAGAACAACTCAACCAATTCAAATCTTGGCACACAAACTGCTCTTTGAAAACACACACACACACACACACACACACACACACACGGGATTCCAACCTGTGCAGCTGACTTTCAACAACCAACTCTGAAGTGAATATACAGTAACACCTCTGATAACAAAGTA